CCAAAGAGTGGCTGGTGGGTTTGAACCGCCAGCCTTCTGGTTAGCAGTCAAATGCCTTAGGCACTACACCACCAGAACTCGCAAAAGTATATATATATATAAAAAAAAAATTCACTGCTGTTGAGTTAATTCAACTCATAACAACCCCTCCTTGGGTTTCCGAGGCAGTATCACTACAGAAATAGATTGCCCAATCTTCCCCAAAGCATAGGGCGGATGATTTACTTTGGAAAACAATGTCAGGGAAGAGGAGTGGGGGCCTAGGATGTATAAATTGGAGAAGGAAGTAAAGCTGATCACTCTAGGGTTTGTCATAATGGCAGATGGGCTGGAATGAACCCCCACAGGTGTCCCACATGACAGTGGCAGAGAAGCCTCAACGCAAAAAACAAGAGCTATAAGACTGCTAAGCTCACAAAGCCAGGGTGCTACTGTGCAGGGTGGGTTGCCATAGCAATGGCCAGATCTAAAAGGTGAACCGAGAAGATGAAAGACTGGACACAAAACATGTTCCAATGAGGAAAGTTATTTAACTTTTCTGTTTCAGTTTCCTTGTCTGTACAATGAAGATACTAATAGAACTTACCTCAAAAGGTTTTATAAAGATTAAATAAGGCAGCATATTTTAAAATTTGGAACAGTAGCACATGGTAAAAACACAATAACAGTAGTTGCTGTCATCGTAAGCATCATCATTATAATTTTTATTCATTCAACTACACACTTTTCTCATGTAATTACTAAGTACAAAGCACTGGGAGGTATAAAAATGAGTACAACAAGAAAATATTATCAGGTAACTCATTCATAGGTGAAGTCCTTCCCTCCTTACATGTTACACATGAAAATTAAAATTGTGTTATTTTTCATGATAACATTATCAGGTTATCATGAAAGCAGTCTCATAATCAAATCTGCCACCCATATAACACTAAATGTACTTTAGTATTAATACTGGTTATTAGAGAAGAAATTAAAAATACATAAAGCACAAAAAAATAAATTTAGTATCTCCTGGGAGTTCTGGTGGCATAGTGCCTAAAGCACTTGACTGCTAACTAAAAGGCTTGTGGTTCAAACCCATCGGCCACTCCTTGGAAGGAAGGTTGGGGAATCTTCCGTATTGATACCACCTTGGAAACCCAAGGAGGGGTCACTATGAGTCAGATCCGACTCTACGGCAGTGGATTTGGTTTTGGTTTTTGCTTTGTACTCTTACCAAGGAACTCTGGGAGCACAGTGCCTAAGGTATCTGACTGCTAACCTGAAGGTTGGTGGTTCAAAACTACCAGCCACTCTGCAGAAGCAAAACTGGGTAATCTACTTCCATAAAGATTTACCACCTTGGAAACTCAATGGGGGTAGCTATGTTCAAGATCAAAAGTGTGGTTCTCTGTCTTTCTTCAAGTGCAGGTTAATTGACAAACATTTAAAATAAGTAATTTCAGACCCAGTCACTACTCACCAAAGTATGATGTAGAACAATATTTTTATATTCCATGTTTTGCCAACTGAGCTTGATATCCCCTGTGATTATGGTCCCCAGTGCACAGGCCCAATGACTCACTCCCTCAAGTTGTGGCTAAGAAGTTATCCTAATTTTGCCTCCTGCATAGGGACATTTTTATAGTACAAATGTATAGGAATACTGTCTGTCAAACCTATATACGATTGTGGGTTATTCCCATTTGACTATCCATACCTGACCTTCTTACCTGTCTATCTATGTATCCACCTGTAGATTAGTGTTTGCTGTTACTGATAATGCAGTATTGTGTATGCAGTAGTAGTTACCTTTATTGTCTATACCTCTTGTGCACCTCTCTGTGTCTTCCTTTCCCTTAGTGATATTGTACTAGTCACATGCCTTTGTTACATTGTTTTTCTGTTCACCCACATCAAACCTCTCTCTTGACTACCTATTTTCCCTCCCACTCCTGGCAACCAACAAAGAAAATTTCCTTCCCTGTGTAAACCTTTCCTTTTTTTTTTTTTTTTTAATAATAATGGACTCATACAATATTTGTCCTTCTGTAATTAACTTATTTCAATCAGCATAATGTCTTCCAAGTTCATCCACATTATGAAGTGATTTGCTGATTCTTCATTATTCTTTAATGTTGCACAGTTAGTATTCCATTGTGTCTATGTACCATAGTTTGGTTATCCAGTCATCTGTTGATGGGCACGTAAGTTGTTTCCATCCCTTTGCTATTGTAAATAGTGCTGCAATGAACATGGGTGTACATATATCTATCTGTATCTCAGAGATGACTATCTAAGATGCATCTAAGATGATCTCAGATGGTGAATGGCCATCTAAGATGTAACTACAGATCTCTTCTCATTTGGAGCAAAGAAGAATGAAGAAAATCAAAGATGCATGGAAACAGTGCAGAGGACTAATGGACCCTGATAGCTTCAAACCATATGACCCTGACACCAGAAGAACTAGATGATACCCAGCTACTAATAGCAATCACTCAGAAAGGGATCAAAATTGGAGATCCCAGATAGAAAATGTGAAACAAAACTAAAAATTATAAAAAAGACCAGGCTTATTGATCTAATGAGACTGGTGAAACCCTGGCAACCATGGCTCTGAGTCACCTTTCAAGCCTGTAATTGAACTCACTCCCATGGCTTAACTCTCAGTCAAATGATAGATAGGCCTACGAGTTGAACACCTACACCAGGGAGATGCACTCCTTCAAACAATCTACCATGGGAGATCAGAAGGATAGTATCTGTGCACAAGGAGAAAGACAGGGAGGCAGGAACGCATAGGCAAGAAGGACACAGGGAAAGGGTAACCACAGGGAGGAGGTGGGAGGAGAGCTGTTACACTGGGAATGTAACCAGTGTCACAAAACAAAATGTGTATGGACTATTAAATGTAAAACAAATCTGCTTTATAAAATTTCACCCAAATCACAACACAACGTTAAAAAATAAAATGAGCTCTGGTGGTGTAGTGCCTAAGGCATCTGACTGCTAACCAGAAGGCTGGCGACTCCCTGGAAGGAAGGTTAGGCAATCGACTTCTGTAGTGATACCACCTCAGAAAGTCAAGGAGGGGTCGCTATGAATTGATCTGAATCGAAGACACTGCGTTTAATTTCAAACACTATTTACATATTAAAATAAGCAAGGGTAGATAATGGAGTTGTTTTTAAGTTGCCGTCACATCAGCTCCAACTTGTGGTGACTTTATGTGTAACCAAAGGAAACGTTGCCCAGTCCTGCACTGTCTTCACAATCCTTGGTTTGTTTGGGTTCATCTACCAGTACTGCAGAGAAGCAATGGTTTGTTGAGATCCATAGGTTTTTACTGGCTAATTTCTGGAAGTAG